ACTATCACTATGTGATAGAAAATGTTTTTTTTGCATATTTATTTGCACTTTTTTCTTTAATTGGGCACACCTAGATCTTTCAATATTTTCCCGCAAATCTTTAAAGTTATCCATACACATCCAGAGTGTTACAAACAGTAGTTGTCATTTCTAAATGGCAGAGAGGCAACCATGAAAAAGTGTGTGTTCCTTATGTTCCTTGATGATGGTAGTAAGTAAATGTTTTAAATAACATTTTGTCCTTTATTTTGATCATAACTTCAGTTTTCAAAGGGCTTTTCATTAAATTGATCATACTGCTACACTACTATACTTTCTCTGCCTTTCTTGTTATTACACATTTTGTAGCCTCTGATAAGGAATTAGGAAAAAAGACATAAACCCTGGGCCTCATAATATAAAATGTGTTACCTGCTTAAGGAATGGTTATCAGTGAGGATGCATTCCATTTCGAGGGTATTATTTTGTGAAATCTATGGTGGTAACCATCTTAATGAGGTTGTTTCCTAGTTCCTGGAATATTTTCTGTTTTGCATGAGGTATACATCATGCATAAAAAGACTAACAAGGCTTACAAATAATGAATAGAAATTCATTTCTTCACGTAGTCCAGCTCACTGATGACAGAATTTAATATGCATATTTTAACATCGTGCATTTTTGCATATTTAGCTTACATTATTTCAGTTTTCATCTCCAAAGTGACTGCAGCGATCCTCATCCAAGTATTTTACTGAGGGCTGAACCACAGTACTGAACCCAAACTTTAAGCAAAGTATCAAACCTTTACCTTACAATTGAGAGTAAGGGAATTCATAAACACTTAAGCCGTGACTCAGTTTAACACCGAAGCTTTAGTTTTTTCGGAGTAATGTGCATCATACATACACTTCTTGGTTACCTCAAACTTTGATCTTTGACTCATGAGAGAAGAAAGTGAGAAAATTTAGAGCTGAAACACATGGAGGAACAGCTGATGATAAGTTAATAGTTAGGGTTTGGGCAGTGCACAGTACTGAAATGCAAAGAAATGTATTATTTTTAGTTCATCTACAAGGTTGTTTTTTCTTTGGATCGAGAGATAAATAAACTTTCCCAGAAATCTTCACTGTCAGCACAGATCCAGCGGGTTTAAATAGAGCAGCTCGCAGTTCCAAACCGTGAAGACGCAGCCATGATCAAGTTCGTGCTTCTTGCGTTTCTTGTTGCTGGTGGTAAGTTAAAAGAATATTTAACCTGGATATTCTTTGTAATGTGTAAATGTCCAAATTCATTTTATAGTACTCTTTAGTAACAAGAACAAAAAGCTATTCGTTTGTGAAGATTGTGTTAGTCTGACAGTCCCTGAGAGTTTGGGTATACTTCATTTCCTGATATTTCCAACATTAATTAAATGTTTCTCGTGTTCTAAGCCTCCAACAGCTAGTTCCGAAAGTTATGCTTCAGCTATGCATCTAATAAGAATGGTTTGCATTTGCTATTAAATTAAATAAACCGATAGTGTAATATTCGAAGTTTAAAAGCGTCACAGCTGAAGTTCAGGTTTAGTGCAGAGTTTCTCAAACCCGCTGTGATGATTGGGAAGCATCATCGAGTGCAGTCACACTTGTATGCGCTCTCAGAGTCAGTTTCCAGATTGAAGACATTCCTCTTCCCCCTGAGCTGGCTGTGCCATTGTTTGCTCTCTGATGAGATGTGGAATAGGAACTACTAAGTGTTGGGTCCTCAGCATTAAGTGTTGGTGTTATATAGCTCCCAGTCTTTGACGGTCGGTGTTCTCTGTCTCTAAGCTTACGGCTGTGGGCGCCCCACCTTCGCCCCCGTGGTGACCAGAGTCGTGGGGGGTGAGGATGCCAGACCGCACAGCTGGCCCTGGCAGGTAAGAGCCGCTCCTCTCACCTGCGTGTTGTTCAAGCCGCCCTCTGCTTTGGACTGTGAGCAACACAAGCAGTACCTCAGGTGGGCAGCTGCGTCAGCATGCGCAGGCTGCAAAGGAACAGATCATGGGTTTATTCCAGGCTGAAAAGAGAAGAAAGGAAACACAACGTTTCGGCTGTGGAGCCTTCTTCGGGTTGACATGCTGACGCAGCCACCCAGCTGAACTGCTTCTGCTGCGACCCACTATGCCTTCCGCTAAATCTTTTTCTAAATCCCTTCCTCATTCCTTCCCCTCCTCCCTGGGCTACTTGCTCCCCTTTCGCACCAAACCGACATTCCTTCTCTTCACAACGATCTGTTCCAGACCAGGCTTGCTACCCACCTCCTATTCCTTGACAGGTGTCGTCATTATAATATCATTCCTAAAGGATTTCATCTGAAATTTAACACTTTTCCTTTGACTCTGGAGTGACACTCAGAGACTTACTACAACAATTTTCTAGGAAACTAATGCTTTCTACCATTTTCTCCCTCAAACAACAGATTACCCTTCTGGACAACAAGCATTTGTTTGCTAGTTTGAGCTCTGTGTCCCAGCTCTAAGCAGTGGAACTACTGTAGCATTAGACCTAATCTTTATTTTTCCTGATCTTTATTTTCTGTAGTGCTCTTCACAAGCATTAGTTCCTCTGTGTGAGTTGTTCATGCTAACTTACATTTCTAAGCAATCAGAGCACTATAACAAGACCTACAGTACTGTAACTAGACCTGAATTAACTAAGTTGGTTTTACATTCGAATTGGCCTCTCATATACCTATCCATTCAGTTTGCTTAAACTGATTTTAATATTTTTCACTCAAATGTGTTCAGATATATGCTGTTTGTGATTTAAATACACAGTACGTTCAAAATACGAGCCCAGTTTTTCAGTATCGTACCTATCTGGTTTGGGAAGTAATAGTCTATTAGACAAATATGCTTCACAGAGTAATTAAAAACAAAATATGAGAAGAGGCAATCTTGCACATCTGACCTGTTTGGTTAGCAGGTTAACTGATCCTAGGATATCAGACAGCCTTTTCTTGAAAACATGTGTTGACAGTATGGTTTGCTTCCCACTCCCACAGTGCTTTGTATGAAAGTAAAATGGGTGATTGTGTTAATGTGAGAACATAGAACTGTACTGTGGGAGTATCAGCCTCCCAGGGCAGTAAGGTTGCAAGGTCTGAGGGTTTTTGCTCTAACTGCGTTTGATTAGTCAGTGAAACTTAATATTTCCACAGCGGTTGTGGGTATAGAACTTCATGTTTGTAAGCCTGGTGTTTTACATTCACTTAAATTATCAACCGCATTAATTCTTACAAAATATTAACATTGGCCATTTAAGAGTTGATACTACCTTCTGATCAGCAGTGGGATCTCAGGTTAACACAACTCTATGATCTATAATTTCCACACAATCACCACACATTTCCTTTCTTTATACACCCAATTTATCCAAGAACTTATGTGAAAGAGTTAAAAGACACTACAGGGAAAATTATTTGGATTTATTGCAGTGTTTGTGTTTATCGTTGCTGTTTTTAATTTCCATGCCCAAGTCTAACTGAAATTCACAAAATGGAGGCATCAGGGGGAGAGCACAATCAGCTAAAGGAATCTAAAATCTACCTTAAAACAAAAAATTGTTTCTTCCTTTTCCGGACGCTAGATCTCTCTCCAGTACACGAGGAATAATAACTGGTATCACACCTGTGGCGGGACTCTGATCGCTACCAACTGGGTGCTCACTGCTGCTCACTGCATCAGGTAAGAGCAGGAGGAGATGAGAGATGCTCATCTGGGGAACCAGCACACAAACACACAGATGACCTGCTCAGACACCAAAGTGTCTAACCCACCCCCCACGCTGTAAACCGAACAGAGGCAAATACATTTCAAGCTCTAGCCAATCAGCTGTGCCGAATCCGCCACTACGGGCTTGGTACGTCGTGATGGGCTTCATCATTAACAAAACATGCTGTTGGAAGGAAAGCCAGCGAATGACCCCTCTTCGTTTCCCATGGTGCTCTGCAGCAGCCGGAACACTTACAGAGTCGTCCTGGGCAAGTACAACCTGAAGCAGGAAGAAGCTGGATCTGTGGCCATTCCAGCTGCCACCATCATCGTTCACGAGAAGTGGAATTCTCTCTTCATCCGGTACGTATGGTTCCGGCTGCAGACAGCACCGGGATGAGCGAAAGGAAGGCCTGAGTGAAAAGCTCATCGTAAATCACCTACCCCTAGGCTGTGAGAGGCATAAACTCAGCACTTTCATTTTAAAGCATTGCAAGGCTGAGAATTAGTCTCTCGCGCTTATTGATTTTATTACTGGTGTGTGTCTAGAACGGTTTGTGCAGATGTGTTGGACGCATGCTGTCTTTTTTCGGCTATATGTTGTTGACTTTATGTTGCATGTCTTTCAATCGTGTGAGCTCAGCCAACCATATTCCATGCAACTAGCTGTTCTGGCAATACAGTTCTGGAGGATCGTTCTCCAGCCTGGAAGCAGCATCTCACTCTGGTCGTGTAGCATTGAAAACGGAGCCCCGGATGATATGAGCATTGAAAAATACATTGAGGCGGGCAGACCATGAAGAGAGAAGTTGGTTAAATGAAATGAAAAGAAGGCCAAACCAGCCCTGAGCTGGTCCTCTCACGCTGACCTGTGTGCTTCCGCAGGAACGACATTGCCCTGGTCAAGCTCCAGGAGCACGTGACCCTCAGCGACACCATCATGACCGCCTGTCTCCCGGACGCGGGGGCTATACTGCTCCAGGATGAGGCCTGCTACGTCACCGGCTGGGGGCGCCTCTACAGTGAGTCTGACACCGCCTTCCTCTCAGACTTATTCTGTATCCGTCTCCCGGCTCTCATCACTCCTGTGTCACTAGGTCTGTTCCTTCTGGCTGGCTCAGCCTTCAGCTCTTGTACTCAGGCCAACGAACTCGTCCTGACAATTTTGAATGAGCAATGTGTCCCGTACAGGGTCATAGGGGAGTCAGAGTCTATCCTGGCAGGCGACAGGCACAAGGCAGGGTACACCCTGGATGGGATGCCAGTCAACTGCAGGGCAGACAGACACAAACACACACACACTCGCACCGGAAGCCAGTTAACCTACCAGCGTGTCTTTGTATTGTGGGAAGAAATCGGAGCACCTGGAGAACACAGGCAGAACATACAAACTCCACACAGACAGCACCCCAGGAATTGAACCCAGGGCCCCAGTGCTGTGAGGCAGCAATGCTCACCACCACGCCACAGTCCTGCCCAGTAGCAATATTAAAAACAGTGACGAATTGCTTTGCAGCTTGATTGTGTTTTACACAAAGGGAAGAATGCCTCTACTTTAATACAGCACTAAGAGCTACAAGCTCCCCAGACCCCGCTGTGCGTCCTGGGCCTGGTGTGAGGGCAGCACTAACGAGGCGCGTGCTCCTTGTCTCCTCAGCTAACGGCCCCGCTGCGGACACACTGCAGCAGGCCCTGCTGCCCGTCGTCGACTACGCCACCTGCACTCAGCCGGACTGGTGGGGCAGCATGGTGAAGGACACCATGGTGTGCGCAGGAGGGGACGGGGTGGTGTCGGGCTGCAACGTGAGTCCCCCGCGGGCCTGAGGGATTACCTGCTCAGATATCAAAGTGAAAAAAGATCTCGGCTCCGAATTCAGAAAAACTTTTACCATCCAGGTTCTGGCTGGTTGGGATCGGTTGCCAGGCACGCTGTGGCCGAGCAACTCTGCACAGGAAGACGTAGTATTGTAACGCATACGGCCGACATTACAGGTTGTGTGAGCCAGCTTACCAGCGTGGGGACGTCACCGCCCTTCCCTGTGAATAGAGGGACCTCAGCCGCCGGGCTGAAGGGAGATCTCCCTTTAGCTCAACTGGCTGGGTCCCTGTTGAGTGACGCCAGAGGCCTGGGTTCGAGCCCCAGCAGTGGAAGGCTGACCTGAGGTGGCAGCGGCAAGGGAGCATACCCCCGTGAACCCAAAAGCGCTACAGTATTATTGCGAGAGGAAATTCACAAATGAATAGCCATGTTTCAAGCCACTAAACACTGGGTTTTTAGTCAGTTTGCAACCTTTATGGCGTCCACCGCTTTTAAATGGACATTTGAACAGAAAGAGGTTCATAGCTGCTTTGGTTGCATTAACCGCCGGGTGGCAAGCGATGGTCACTTCCTTTCAGTCTCCTCTCCGATCTTCAGCTTCGCTAAACTAGACTGTGCAGTTATGGGGCGTCTTAACTTAGACAGTGGTTTTATCTGTGGAGCTCTTAAAAATAGCGAGTAAGACAGCAGTGAAGGACACCAGGCCTTGAGGATTCATAGGCTTGCCGAGTTTGCTTCCACATGAGCTCCACGTGCACCTCGCTTTTGAAGGGGAGACCGTTCTGTCTGAAACGGCTTGCAGGATTCGAACGAACCGGCATTTCTCTGCTCTCCAGGGAGACTCCGGCGGCCCCCTGAACTGCCAGGGCAGTGATGGGTCCTGGGAGGTCCACGGTATCGTGAGCTTCGGCTCCGGCCTGGGCTGCAACTACCCCAAGAAGCCCACCGTCTTCACCCGCGTCAGCGCCTACATCGATTGGATCAACAACGTGAGTCCCGCCACAGTCACGCCGTCTCCACCGCCTCCCCCTTTGTCAGAGCTACGGGAAAAATGGCTTCTCTGCCACATGACCCCCTCCCCGTGACCCTATTCAACCCTTTCCACCAGAAGAAGTTTCTTTAGCACCTGGTTCTTAGCTTTGCAATCAACGGTCAATAAAAAGAGAGTAGTACAGGAAAAAAGTGACATGCAAATAGCGAACTGGGAAAAACATCCATCCATCCGTTTTCCAACAGCTTCATCCAATTCAGGGCGAGCCGAAGCCTTTCCCAGCAAGCACTGGGCACGAGGCAGGGCACACCCTAGACTGGACACCAATCCATCACAGGGCAGACACACACACACCCTCGCCGGGGTCAGCTTTCTCAGAAGCTAATTTAACCTCACAGTACTGTATGTCTGTGGACTGTGGGAGGAAACTGGAGCACCTGGAGGAAACCCACACAAACACAAGGAGAACATACAAACTCCACACAGACAGGGCCCCAGGTCCAAAACTGTTACCCAGTGTCATGGGGCTGTGAGGCTAACCTGTGCTAACCCCTGAGCCACCATGTTGCCTGTGGAAAAACAAACCTCACAAACAACTTTATTTTCAGCTAAAACAGCAAAAACATTATGTCTAATTCACTATGACTTTGAAGATGAATTAGAGCAGAAAACCAGCCCTCTAACTTCATAAATGACCGCTAGTTTGCTGCAGTAATATTCACAGTAATGTAATGCAAGAGAATGTATAAAATTACAGTTCCGCAAAGCTAAAAGTTCTATCGTTTCTCCATTCTTTCCACAGGCGATGGTGAACAACTGAAGAAGAGTCTGCTACTTGACTTGACAATTGTATCGTTGACCAGCAAAAAAAAAATCTGAAATAAAAAACAAACAAAAAATGAAAAACTAACTGTCAATTTCATGTATTAAGACATTCCTTTTTTAAAATCTGAAAGGAACCATCACACTATGGAAGTACTCACTGGATGCATATATAACAATGTTTTCTGCCAAAATAGTTTAATGATTTTTCCCTGAATATCAGTTTTAAGAGGAGGTCATACTATTCTTAGTTTTGAATTGATCTTATTGCCCTGTGGTTTTATTTAGTTGTATTACAGAGTTCATTTAAAATGAAGAATTAAAAAGGCTATTTCGACCTTTGCTACAATGCACGTATTTAACTGTGCTGCCCTTTTTAATAAAAAATGATACAAATAGTCTTTGAGAGTAACATACAAACAGCATTTAATTACTAGGGGGAGTTAATTGAAATTCATTTGGGCAAAATAAAATAAAAAAACTTGTATCTGGACATACTTTTTAAAGATAACCTGAATCTGAAGTTCTAATTTTGTAGTTTACCTCCAGTTGGAAAAAACAGGTTCTGCATTAACACTATTTTTTAGTTGAATAAAAATAAGGCCTGCATAATCTCTAGAGTATCAAAGCTATACCATTTCTTGAACAGTACTAAGAATTTTCCGTCTTAAGAAATCTTCCTTATCAGTGAATAAAGTGTGACAACTGAACAGCTGTCTCATGTTTTTTTTAATTTACATTTACATTACAATTTAAAGTTTCTGATGTTTTGGTGAAGTCAATTGCTACTACAACTTCAATGAAATACTCGGGACACTTACAGTACACACTGCTGTCCTATTCCAGATTTTCCCTGATTTTTTGGACCTTTACTTTGCCCAGAAGGACGTTGCAATCAAAGTTCAAGTTACATCATTCACTCATGTAACTGTTTGCCAGGATTCCCTACGCCTGCGCGTTCCCACATTCCGCTGGAAGGACAAGAAGCAGTCTTTCAACTCTGAGGCCAGCCCAGTGACCAGCATTAAAGCCACAGGTTCCTGTCCCTGAGGAAAAGGTCATCAGGTGGCATGTTTTCATTTGACAGAGAAGGCACTGTACTCGCTAAAACAGAGTTTCAGTGAGGAGGAAATTGCCAGGACACCAAATATGAAATCAAACACTACAGAAACACAAAACAGAAAAACTGTTATCTGTCCATATCCTAGCCAATTCTCTTGATTGGGTAGAAGCTTCCATCCAGCTCCTTTCAATCCAGGGTTGCAGGGCAGACACAGACATGCCCACACCCACCTCTGAGGGCCGATGGTCCCCAGATGCCAATTAACCTCCCAATGCATCTTCGGTAAGTATCAAATATGGGAGAGTGAGTTACTGTATGTCCCTTAATCATACACACCATGTCCTGTAGTATGCAGTCCGACAGTACTGTATATCGCTGTACTTTGTGATACAGTGTATGTGAATTTAGCATTTTGCAACAGTTCTCTGCAACAAACTCTCAGGAAAGTTAAGTCCCTACCGTATTAACACAACTACTCTTTGAACAACCTGTCACATCATAAAAATTAGTTTGCCTCAGGTATGACCTACCTGAATGCTGGGGAGTGTTTCAACGGAGTTCCTGTGAAGTGGTAAAGTTGGTCTGATCCTGGTGGCCTCCTGTCGATAGCATCGGTGTGGTCAGCACTGATGGCCTTTGGAATAGATCCTAAAAAAAAAGATTCTCACAGCAAGACCTCGCCCAAGGTTGTTTTCCTGAATTCATGCCATTGTAACGCCAGCACTGGGACTTGCATTGTCCTGCTGAAAAATCGACACTTCCGGAACCAGAGTTCCGGGCTCACAGGACAGAAGGAATGTTGGCTCAGGGACTTGTGACCATCAAGGTGACCCACAAATCTGCACAAAAAAGCTCTTGCTTTGAAGCGGCGAACAGCTTTCACTGGTGAATAAAACACTTCAGCACTCATTCTGCTGCTGCTTCAGATGTTTTCTGGCCGACAGAAGATGGCTCTCTTCTTAGCTGTCGGTATGATCCCTGAACATTATCGTCTCAGGGGGTGCATATTCTCTAGAAAGAAGCATGCAGATGTAGCACAGGGAGTACCTTCAGGTGAACCTGACATTCCCGGGCCTATGTGGTGACCCCCTGCCTTCCAGAATAAAGTATCCTTCAGGGTTGGCTTTCTGGTTTCTCTACTGATTTAAGGAGAACATCCCATTCTCACACACAAGCTACCTTCAGTTCTATTGATAACAACCAGGCAAATGTTAAAACACCAAATTTAGCATGGGCATATCTTTGGATCTGGGCAATTTTTACACAATTAAATACCAAACACTGAGCACCTAGCATTATTTGCTCACACATATCTGCTCCCTGCTTGGTTGACATTACGTGCATGCCCAGTGAAAAACAATTATGTAAAAACAGACTCATGCTTTCATTGTGCTTCAGCAAAGTTCAAGGACCTTTCTGTCTGGTAACGTGGTACAGAATATATTAGCATAATTGTTGGGACTCAACCTGAAAGATATGTGATGCTGGACAAAAAAGGTTCTGCAACTTGTCACTGTTGCTGATATTTACACAGACTTTTATTATTTTGAATCATCATCATCATCATTATGTAGATCTTTTGCCACTCCACAAAAACACAGTCTGTTAATGTCACAGAACAAATATATCATGAAGTTCAAAACCAGAGAAGAAAACCTAGCATGAATGTAAAATTGAAAATTATGGTAGGCCAAATATATGGACAAACTATTTTCCTTTTTTTTCTGTCGGGACATTTTAACTTAACTTTTTACAACTTTAAGCACTGTCTGTGTGTGTTTTAAAGCTCTGAGCTTTAAACCCCAAATTAAAGCATGTAGATTTGTATGAACTTGCACAGTTCCTGGTTTCTACTGAATCTCAAGAAAAGCTACCCATGTATCTGTACAAAAAGGACAGAGCTCAGTTGTTAAGGTGCACTAAAAAAAGTTTCTTAAAGCAATTCTTAAAGGTTCATATTAATGCAAGGATACATACATCAAGTGTTACAGAGAAGCCAGACCTGGATTCTGATTAGCTGTCATAAGGCATGAGACAACACTGACTCTTGTCAGAAAGTGTCGAAGGTCTCTTGTAAAATGCTTTACAGATTAGATGACAAAACACAGGAAATCCACAGATCATTTTTGAAGCTCTGAGAAACAATCTGTCATACCAAGAGAACAATTTTAAACGACAGTTTTCAAATACTACAAAAGCTGCAAGATGAACCCCTTAGCTGTTGTTGAAACGTACCAGTATTTAGCCTGGAGTTTTAAGCATGCTATAGGAATCTATCATTTGGTTTCCTTTAGCTCCTAGCCATACCTCTAAGAGGAATAAAACCAAAGTTTTTATTTAGTGGTAATCCATTTTATGAAAGGGCACTGCAATGTTAGCAACAGTGACAAAAGGAAATCGGACTGTTATTTATTCACTAATGAGGATGGACTCGTACAAATGCACAGGCCCTCGACAATAAGGTGGGCTCTGAAGATTGCTCTCATATCAGCTTGAACGGATGTAATCACAACCACACAATAAAGTAGGCCATCCAGCTTCTGTAATGCACTGAATTCATCTTAAGGAATGGAAACGAGCAAGAAATCCAGAAAAACGCACGGTCAACAGTGACTTTCCTGTCTGTTGTCTGATTGCACACCTACTTAAGAACTCGATTTTAGTAGAACAATCATACTGCTTTCACTCTCCTGCACCAGAGTTAGGCAAATCCCAGTCTTTTAGGGCTGTAGTCTCTCTGGTTTTCATTCCCCTTCTTACTTAATTGAAGTAATCAATCAGATAAGAAGCCAATCAGCCATGTTTTAGATCTTAAGCTGCTAATTGAAAAGTACCTTTAAATCATGCAGGACTCTGGGCTTTCTGGGCTGGGGCTGCCCATCCCAGCTACAGATGTACCGCAGAGGGGAAGTACATCATCAGGGCCTGAGGAAACGCAAAGCGAGGTCACCGCAAATCATTCCAGATCAGATCCGAGCGATCCGGCACCAGGATGAAGCGCACGAGGACAAGAGGCAGTCCGATGCACGAGGCACATGCTGTTGCTCCGAGAGTGTGGGATCGACTCGCCGTGAAAAGTCGACATACTTTGCTGGGAACGCGGTGGGGGGTGGGGGTGGGGGTGGAAGGGGGAGGGGAGGGAGAGGGAGGTGCCTCAGAACTCCTCGTGCACGTTGCGGGCGTAGTCCATCAGCTTGCTCCCAGTGAAGTACTCGCTGTACTTGAGGATCTCCTCCAGTTCCAGGTTGCGGTTCTGGTTCTCGTCCGCCACTGCGATCATCTGCTTGGCCTCATTCAGGGCGTTGTACTCGTTCATGGGGTCCATGTACTCCTAGAAACCAGAGAGCCAGCTGTCATACAGAGCTGATTCCTGGGGAGGGCGGGGGGGGCACGTTCTCCACTCCGCCATCAAACTCAAACACCAGAAGCAGCTGACAGGGTACGTCTGGGGGTTGGGAGTGTTCCCTACCTAGTTTTTTTACCTATTTTAAATATACCCCAAAGGCACCATCAGGTTCCGGCACGTGCCTGCTACCGAAAATGAATCTGATTTATAGAGCTGATCTCTCAATTTCTTTCACAAGGGCGGAAGGACATCTTGCTTTAAGAGGATGACGAGCAAGAGGCATGAGGGACAAGCTGTCGCTCTGTGCAACCCACTCTAGGTTTTACAAGCTGCATGCTCTTGCAAGAAAACAAAATCACGCCTTCTTCAGGGCATGCCAAGTCTACATTCATTGTGGAGATTTATTTAATATGCATGAGATCTACACACGCTTCAGCTGCTTTGCAATAGGAATCTTCACTTGGAATGATCATATCTCGTATGATCTGCTAACCTGCTGACTGTTTTCTGAAATGTTTTTAAATCCGAGGCTGTACTGCCTGCGACAATGGAGAAAGCTGGGAGTTCAAGCAGGAAGCGATGACTCGCATCTATAGAACTGTGATTGAGAACGTGCCCCCCCTTAATAACCGTGTGGTACAGCAATACAACCGTGCAAGAGAGGAAACAGCTGGAAAGAGCCGTTCGAGCAGCACCCAAGATCATCGGACGCGATCTTCCCTCTCTTGCGACAGGCGCATCAAATGGAAAGCTAGGAAAAACCCCTCCCAGCCTGCCAGCTCCTTTTCTTAAATGTCTCCCTTCAGGGACGAAGTTTCAAAGCATCAGATGCAGAACCGTTCAGTTCCGAAGTTGCACCTATCTATGGGGCATTTAGTACCTCAATATGGACAGTAGATCTTGGACATTGCATTGACTGAATACTAAGTACAGTACAGTCTCGATTATCCGACATAACCAATCAACATGCTATATGCTGTATGAGTGCAAATGCATAATATTGTAACAATAATTGTTTACACTTA